GCAATCCAAAGCAATGTGCAGAGATGTTAAAAATTGCACATTATCAAAATGTCACACTAAAAACAAATCAACCTGATTCTTGCCCTTCTGGGCTTTCCAACTTTGCTCGCTGTTGCCACGCAGAAGACTTGCTTACAGGCCAGAAGGGACTGGGTCCTTTGCTAAGGAGGTTCACTTGGTCACCACCATAGAAATGAGCTGCCATCACTGTTGAAATGTAATTCTCCCTTTGCCTGCCTCCTATCCCCTTAAACAATTCATAGAGCAAGATTATATTATCTACATAAGACAGACTATCTTATATAGCATTTTCATCAGTAGATCTCAAAGGCACTAAAGGTAAGCATCATTATTCCCAGTTTACAGATGAGAAAACTGACACACAGAGCGGGGGAAATGACTTACCTAAAGTCAACCAGTATATTAATGGCAAAAGCCAGACTAGAACTTAGGGCTTTTGAGGGTGAATTCAGGATGCTAACTACTGTGCCAACAGCAGTCTTTCTGCTGGAAAGTAATTAAGCTAGCATACCAGGTATGTGTGGTCCACTTTGTGATAAGAGTGTAACAGTCTTTTATTTGCACTGACAACTAAGCTAAACCAGCTACTATAAAAATGTAATCAGAAAAAAAGAGATTGTTCTTTACCATTAGATAAAATCCAACAAACTTGCCAATAAACTCTTCCAACTATTGTGCAAAAACAATGAATTCCTAATAAACAGCAATGACTACAAAGTATGCGGTATTTTTCTAAAACGATTCATCAGTTTTGACAGTAGTTTAATAAGAGCTTTCCCATGAGGCATTGGTGGTGTCTAAATTACTGACAAGGCCCAGGTGGATATATTGTAGCAGCCTGCTGCACTGGCATGTGTAAGTCTGGCTTTGTGAAAAATACAAAGATTCCCATTTATACATGCCAACAACATGTTTTGGAGAAGGATACACATGGTATATGAGAGACGGGTGCATGTCTATACGAAGAAACCACAGTTTACTTGCCAATCCATAGAGCAGCAGTTACTAGAGCCTTATAAAAAGCTGTTCACTCCTTTGATGGCTAAGAAAATGAAGTAATTGAATCAGTTTCTATGATGAGAGAGGAACTGGGTAGTGAAATTGGATAAAAGCAGCTCAGAAAAAAATGAGGAAGTGGCATTGCTCCCTATAGCTGGGTGCTTGCGCAAGAGACTACCCTGTGAAAAATGTGTTTGCTCTTTTCCATGTTGCTTTGTCTGTGTTTTATTTGGTTAGCCAGCACCAACAGTACTAGGGAGTATCCCCAGCTACCACAAATGAAGATTGCAATAACAAGACAGAAGTGAAAAGACATGAAAAGACTTGGGAAGCCAAATTTTCTCAGAAATATGATCAGAGAGCAAAATAGAGCAGTAATGCCAGCCAGCAGAACTAGAAAAGAGTGACATGCACTAAGTAGAATAAATTGCTGCTAAGGTTACATCTGATCATGTGATATATGAATTATGGTCTAGACAGGGTCAATTCCACCAATTGTGCAGACCTGGGAGTTGTCTAAGGCAGTGATTGTTTACTTGAGTGGTGTGCAATTTCCATTTTGCCCCGGGCAGTAAATACTTCAGAGCTGACACTAGGACTAGGTTTACCACTTCTCCAAGAAACGATTATTTTAAATTGTGTGATTCCCTCTGAAATTTCAAATCTATCAAAAATGTGCTATAAATCAATAAAGTTAATTCAAAATATCTAAATTTGATAAACATATGACACTCATAATGCAAGCTGCATGTTTTTCTATGAGTTTAGTTACGTGTCTATGTCTTAGAAAGACATGAATGCAGATCTAATTTAGTTTATGTGCAACCATACTATTTATTGCTCATTAAAATTTTAACTATACCACCAAAAAACAATGAATGATGTACTTCTATTACTCTGTTGCTTTTTGGTGGTCATATAGCTAGTCTCTTTCAAAAAACAATTTCACAAAGTGCAAACAGGGAGGTAAAACAACAGTAATTACAGAAATGCCACATTTCACTATTGTAGCCTTGTTGGTCCCAGGTGACTGCAGACACAAGGTAAGTGAGGTAATATCTTTAATTGGATAAATTTCTGTTGGTGAGAAAGGGAAGCTTACAGAAGAGCTCTTGGTGAGCTCAAAAGCTTCTCTATCTAACCAGCAGAAGTTGGTGCAATATATTACCTCACGCAACTGGTCTCTCTAATGCCAGAGACACTTTATTTCTCATTCTGGTGAGAAGTTTTCCAGTTACTTACTTGGGAGCTGACTGGGCCCTTGGTTTGCATATAGTACATACTGTTTATCACACACACAAAATCTTCCTTTTGAAAATAAACAGATGTAACAGCTTTGGCAATAAAACTTATTGAGACCCCACATTGTTATTGCCCATTACACTTACCATGCCCCTAAATATGCAAAACCCAGTTGCTAAGATGAGGTATATAGCCAACATTAGATCTAATGGTCTTCTCAGGAGTCCTTTCTTCTGGACTTTCTGAACCATCTATAATACAATATTGGATTAAGAACAGATCACAAATTCTTCATTAAATGTATTTTAATTTCAAATCTGTCTCTAAAGAAAGTTAAAGTGGTGAAACACCCTGACAAAGACAAAGGGACATCTGCTCCTAGCTATTCCAGTGTAAATGCAGAGTCACACCATTGATTTGAGTGTATAAGGGGGAGAAGCAGCATTTCTATGTGGAAGAAGTAACATAGAGCAATGATATAAGAGAAAGAAGAATCAAGCCTTTACCATTCAAAATTAAGCTAACCCACACTTTAGAAAGATTCTCTAATGATCTGCCTAAGAGAGGATCAGTGTTGATCTTCATGTTACCTTTCATCAGTTGGTGACACCTTCCATAGTAATTTATGCAAAGATAATAAAATACCCATTGTCATATCCATTCTAGTTGCTCCACTATTTTATGTATGCCCTTTTTAATTCTAAAAACTGCAGTGCATACCCACTTGTGTGGGTCCATAAGAAAATGTATCATGTAATCATAAATATACATCAGATATTTATTTATTTAGTAAAGGAAAGGAAGGATGACATAGTGGCTAAGGCAGTAGCCTAAAACACCAGTAGTCCAGGTTCACTTCCCTATTTTGACACGCACCTCCTGTGCGATGTTGGGCAAGTTGCTTAGAGCTTGTCTCCACTACGCCGGGGATCAACGCTGCAGCGATTGATCCACTGACTGTCAATTTATCGTGTTTCCTTAGATACGATAAATCGATCTCTGAGCGTTCTTCCATTGATGCTGGTACTCCACCAGGATGATATGAGTAGCCAGCCTCAACAGGAGAGCAGCCCCCACTGACCTTACCTCACACAAGCAGGTGTGGCCCTAAACGAGCTGCCGGCAACTGGTGCCCTAGGCGAAACGCACAATTGGCGCGTGATCGGCGCTCCCGCCTCCAAACCCCTCAACGGCCGTTTATCTTGGCGCCCTAGGCAACCGCCTAGTTTGCCTGTATTGACGGGCCGCCACTGCACACAAGACACCACAGTAAGTCTGTCGACAGAGCTGAAGTCACGTAGATTAGATTGACAGTGGGGATAGTGTAGACGAGGTTTTAGTTGTCATAAATCTCTGTTCCCTCACTATAAAACTGAGATAATCCCTCTCTCCAAGGAATGTTGTGAGGTAATTATGCAAGGCATGCTGTATAAGTAGCTCAGTTAAAAAATGGTCTGCGGCAATCAAGAGAACTCACTCACTGCAGACTTCTTACTCAAAGCTTCATTCCAGGATGCATGTTTTTTTCAGCATTATGCACTCTTGCCCAGCATGCACATACCAGACACAATCTCCTGCCAGTTGAGAGAACAAGCCATCTTCCTCATATATAAGCACTTCATTTATATGACACATTCCTTTCCACTTCTCTTTTTAACAATAATCCATTTATTGAGAGGCACACAACAAAAAGACCTCCTACAAAATGGAGTTCCTTATTGTTATATTACTGCATTACTGTATCAAAATATGTTGTACAATAACCTGATTATAAACATTAATGTTCACATGACAAAGCAGGAAAAAATATTGTTTGGGCAAAACTTGTAAGCAAGGACTACAGAATTTGGCTCATAGTTTAACAAAAAAAAAAACCCAACCCAATTCTTATATGTAGTAGGGATGTAAAAGAGTAGTCGATTAGTCGCTTCCCCTCCCCTTGCTGCCTCTATATCAGAGGGAGCAAGCAAGGGCACGGGAAAAGTGAGAGACGGTGCTGAGGGAAGCCGGCTTAGAAGCTGGTTCCCCCTAGCACCATCTCCATGGTACAGATGGGGAGGGGCAGGGAAGGCAGAGGCGCAGGGGTCAGGGACCTGGCATAAGCTGAGACTGCTGAGTCCTGGCTCGCACAGTGTCCCGGACCTACCCCGCTGTGGCTCTGTCTTTTAAATGTAGTAAGAGCTGCCTGCCTTTTGAATATAGTAAGAGCTCGTGCCAGGTCCCTGACCACTGTGCCTCTGCCCTTTAAATGTGGTAGTTGCCATGCAGCTCTTACTACATTTAAAAGGCAGAGCCACAGCAGGGTAGGTCCGGGATCCAGCGTGAGCAAGTACTCAGCTCGTGCCAGGTCCCTAACTCTGCACCTTTGGCTTTTAAATTTAGTAGGAGCCAGGCTGCCTGTGCACCCGGCTCCTACTACATTTAAACTGCAGAGCCACAGTGGGGACCCTTATCAACTAACTGTGTACTCAATACAAATTGTATTGAGTACATGATTCGTCAATGACCCGCTTCTTAACATCCTTAATATGTAGAGCTGTTATTTCATAAAATCGTTAAAACAGGGTACATTTTCAGAAACAGATCTCTGAGGCAGCTCTGCTATATCTTTTTGCTTCCTCATGCTAGCTCAATAGGTAGGCTACAGAAAACTCATGCCTTTTCTTTTCTTTATGAATATACTTACATAAAGGCAATGAAAATGTAAATCACTAAAATAGAAAGAAAGGCCAACAATTTGAAAGGCAACATGTTATGCAAAGACTTAGTGCTGGACTGAAATATCTTGTCTACTGAGCTATTGTGCCCATCTCTCTCTTTTGTAATACAGCAAAGTCATACCAGCATACCCTGATGTAAATTAAATGCAACAACCGCTTCTGTCAGGTCAAAGTTGATCCATTATTGGCTTCCTTTATGCTGAAAACAACAAACCAACTCCTCACAAGTCGTGCTGCCACTGCTGTTTTGTATGGCGGAAGGAAATCTGCAGGCATAATTAGAATGTTCTCCTGTTTTCCTAGCCTTATTGAAGGTACCTCCCAGGTTCAGGCTCTAACAGTTCAGAACAGTCAAGTAGAGTCAACAGGCTGAATGTAACAAAACAAGTCCCACCAGCATTCATGTGCAAAGCTATGTGCAAAGTATGCTTTGCCCTCTACCTCATAAACATTTCCTGAGTTTAAATTACTTGAGACTATTCCGTGTTACTAGTACATTTACAGACCTATCCACCAAGCCCTGTAAATACCACATTGCAACTCCGTTTGATTCTAAACGGTGGCAAAACTCCCCCATGCCTCTACTTCTGCTTTGAAAACTGAAGCTTGTCTGTAATCCAAGTATATGTATTTTACATTAAGTCTATAATAATTAATGACTTATTCAGCACCAGGTAAATTAATTCCAATAATGTTTTAATGTAAATACTTTGTATATATGTGTACATTTTTAAGAACTGTCATGCCATTTGTTTCCTAAATCCCTTATTATTGTTTCTTACCAATGCTAGTTCAAAAGTTACAATTGGATTTTCAAGCTGATTGTAAATATTTAAAAGATCTTCTGAAAAGGCAGCAAATCTTTGTAGGATTTAGTATGGTTAATTATTAATTAAACAGATCAATATTAATACACAACTATCCTCTGAAAACTAGAATTCATTTAGGATTGCCTAAAATATTAGAATTGGTTTTATTTCATTTTCACAGAACTTTAAAGTTACTAAATGTAAGTATGTGTGCTAGGTGCTCCGCTATTCTTGTCTTCTACGGATCTTAAATTGGCTGTGAAGATGTAGTTCTATTTTCCCGTAGGAAAGACAATTTCATTTAAAAAAATTGAACGCTTGGAGGAAAAGATCCTATATTTAGAATTATACTGAGGACTTTCCTATGACCTTCAAAGAATAGAAACTAAAAGGCTTCAATTTTTACACAAAAAAGAGTTAGTTGTTCAGTAAAAACTGAAGTTAAAAAGTGTTCAGAACACTTGCTTTCTATGCATTTGCCTTTTTTAAACACATTTTTGTAGAAATTAAACTTGATTGAAACATGCATCAATGTGACACATTAAATCTGGTTAACAAAGTAGTAGTAATTACCAAACTCATAAATATAAGAAGCTTGGCCATGCTTCTGTGGACAAGCTGCCATATTTTAGCTATAGGCAGCAGTTCTGTAATGTTCCTGGGACTAAGAAGAAAAATCAAAACTTTTATACACTGCTATACAAGACAAACACCATATTCACCTCATGAATAAATGTTGTTGCATAAGAAGTCACCATTAGCATGACCAAATAGCTTTACTATTGGCCCGGATAGCTTTACTCTATCCCATTTTCATACCTTTCATTAGATTTCTGAGGGTTCTGTTTACACAGTACTCAAATCCTCTCTACAGATGCAATTTGGAAGATGCACTGAGCTTTCACCTAGTTAGCTTCCATGGAAATGAACCCTAAATTAGTAAGGCAGAAGCTATTCAGAAAGGCCTCTTGAGACTCAGATTTAGTTGTACCCACCTCACTACCCTCAAAATCCTTTACTGTAATTGAACCATTATTGATTTGTCTTTCACAAGCTTTTTGAAAATCTTCCAGTATCTCTTCTACACCTATTGTGTTCTGCAATATCACCTGTATATACAGGCTAGAGCTAGACTGCAGGCTTTTTGTGCAAGAAGCTTTTTGCTGAAGAGATCTTCCACAAAAACTTCTTGTGCAAAAGCAATCCACATTACAAAAGCACATCGCAAAAGCGATGGAAGCTCTTGCACAAGAAAGCTCTGATTGCCATTAACAGACTGGCCATCAAAGCACCTGTGCTTTTTCCGATAGACTCTTTTTGCGCACGAAACCGCTGTTGAGCATCCACACACACCTTTTTACACAAGAACTCTTGCACAAAAATGATCAAAGGGGTAGCCGTGTTAGTCTGGATCTGAAAAAGCGACAAGAAGTCCTGTACCATCTTATAGGCTAACAGATGTATTGGAGCATAAGCTTTCGTGGGCAAAGACTCGCTTTGTCAGATGCACTGACAAAGCGGATCTTTGCCCACAAAAGCTTATGCTCCAATACATCTGTTAGTCGATAAGGTGGTACAGGACTCCTTGCACAAAAAGGAGTTATGGCTTGTAGAAAGAGGTATACCTACATCGCATAAAGCCCTTTATTCTGCCGTTCTACTGTAAATTTTCTTGCGCAAAAAAGCACTTGAGGTGTGGATGCTCCATGGCTTTTTGCGCTAAAATAGCTGGTTTTGCACAAAACCTCTGTACTGTAGACATGGTTAGGGAGCCTATAAAAATCCAAGAGCAAGAAATGCAAACATTTTAAAAAGCAAGCAGGTGTTCAGTTATAGGAAATCACACAGTAATCTACATAACACGACATCTTGCCATTATATAGCATCTTTATCTAAGTGTCTTAAAGAGCTTTACTAATCTAGGGAAGTATTACTATCTCTGTTTTACAGAGAGGGGGAAACTGAGACATAGGGAGTATAAAGGTCATATACCCTGAGGCCAAGTCTGTGCTACCAAGTTACTTTGGTATAACTATGTATAAATGTATAACTATGTATAAATCCACATCCCTGAGTAACACAGTTATACTGACTTAAACACCAGTGTAGACAGCATTATGTCAGCAGGAGGTGGATTAAATATATCAACAGGAAAGACTCATCAGTGTGGTAGCATCTTCACAGAAGCACTACAGTGCACCATTACAGTGTTTTAAGAATCTATCTGCCCTGAGTAAATGATAGTCAGGAACAGAATACACACATCCTTACCCCTAGTCCTTCACTCTAATGACCTTGCTTCCCTCTACACACCACAATGGAACTAACTAAAATATTATATGAAGAATGCAGCAGAAATATTTTCACCATGCATGCATGATACTTCATCAATCTCCATTACAAACATCTACTATAGATTTTTAAGTGTTTGTTTGTGGATTTGTTTGTGCAAAATAAAGTCACACTTTGTGATTACCTACAGATACCAAATTTTGCATAAACAATCCTGCCACTTCAATTAGCTGAATGCACTACATTTTACACTGGAATATGCTGGGTGAAAGGTTTAAATCAGTGTTTCTCAAATGGCAAACTGCAACCAATAGGAACCACGAGGCTCTGTGTCTGCAGAGTCAGTAAATAAACAAACTGGAGTGGCCCAGTAGCAGCATTCTCAGAGTGGGTCCATGTACCCACTTTGAGAAACACGGATTTAAATAATTATTTTTGTTTTTCATCAGAAAAAAGTCATGGCTGTTATAATTACAGTTCATAAAAAAATACTTGCTAACAAAATTAAAATCGAGTTGCCTATTCAACTGTCATTTTAGTGCAAAAAATGTTTTTACTGTTACAAATCACAAAATAATTCAAATTAGTTACAGAAAGAGTAATGGAAGCTTTATGAGTTTCTGATTCAAATTTACTATGTATGGTAATTGTTCAATAAAATGAATGATGTTTGCAGTTGAAATCCTACAAATTTAAAACTGTTCTTTTACTTGCCTTTTGCAAGCACAGTAATAAAAAATTCTATTACATATATTAAATTTCTTGAACTTTCCTATAAGTGTAATCTACACAAAATGACTGCCTGGTCAATGACAGGCCTCACCTGCTAATAAAAAATAATTACCGTGTACTCCATAAAAACTCTGCAGGAGTAATGAGCAAGTTTTTAGTCTTTTTTTAATGTCATTAATACAGTAAAAACAACTCGCAGTCTTGTGGCACTTCAGAGACTAACAGACATTATATCAAGAGCTTTTGTGGGTAAAACCCACTTCATCAGATGAGTTGGAGTGGAAATTACAGAATCCATAGTGTATATATATAACATCAAAAGCAGTTTACATTTAACACAATAACAGTACCTTGACAGGGGTATTGTAAGTCGCTGAAGGCTGATTATAAATTCTGAACCCAGCCCATATAGGAAGACAAATATATGGTACATTTAAGAACGAAGCAGGACACATTCTTGCTCCATATTTACCTATTAAAAGAAATAATCAGAAAACACGAAGAATTTATATACTAAATTTATATACTATATGGAGAAAAATACAGCATATCCCATGGAGCATCCACACCAAATAGCTACAATAATGCTGGCTGTTGAAAGGGTTTTAAATGCTTATGACCCAGCATACAAATCTGGTGGAAAAGCCTGAGCTGGCAAATGGAAAAGCCACATAAAAGCAGGTAGCAAGGAGATACAATAGAGTGTGTTGTTTCAAAGATGAGATTTTTCTGTTTGTGACAGTCAACTGCCTCAGCCACTGACCTCATTTCTACATACCCACAGGGCTGGAAGCTCAGAAAGCTGTTAATATAGTCTGCTCTAGAGAAAGGCATCTTTCACAAAGGAAAAACTGACACTTTTAAGTCTGATATTGTGTTCTTCTTATTAAATCTTAATTTCTAAGGCAGGGCAGTGGAAAAAGGGACCCTTGGAAAAAGGGGTCACTAATCATTGGAGGCTGTGCCTTTTGGATCAGCTGAGAATCTGGTCCGTATATCAAAATCAGTGGCAGAGAGGATGCCCTAGAGAGGTAAAGTGCATCTGTGGAACAGTAAATATGCGAAATGTCTGTGTGAGTGTATCAATGTTCTTTCTAATCATTTCCATCCATGTGCAGAACAATTTTTATGTGCACCAATACATGTGAAAATGTATACTAAGGCTACATCTACAATGCCCTCTCTTGTGCAAAAAAAAATGCAAATGAGGCAAAGTGTGGAATATTGCCATGCCTCATTTGCATAATTAATGATGCTCCATTTTTGCTCAACAGGCTTTTGCGCAAAAAGAAAACATCTACACGACTCCTTTTTGCACAAAACACCCTTGCACAAGAGCCTTTCTTCCTGAAAAAAGTGGAAGAATGGCTCTTGCGCAAAAGCCGTTTGTGAAAAAAGCAGCAGCTCATAAATTATGCAAATGAGGCATGACAATATTCCATGCTTTGCCTCATTTGCATATTTGTTGCACAGAACAGCGCAGTGTAGAAGTAGCCTAGTCATGGAAGTTCTGCTAATCAGCTAGGTGTCATTTGCATGTTTCCTGATACAAAGAACAGAGAGAGAGAGAGGGTATGTCTACACTACAAAGTTAATTTGAACTAATGGACGTTAGTTCGAATTAACTTTGATAGGCGCTACACTAGCGCTCCGCTAGTTCGAACTTAATTCGAACTAGCGGAGCGCTTAGTTCAAAATAGTTAAACCTCATTGTACGAGGACTAAGCCTAGTTCAAATTTACTAGTTCGAATTAAGGGGTGTGTAGCCCCTTAATTCAAACTAGTGGGAGGCTAGCCCTCCCCAGCTTTCCCTGGTGGCCACTCTGGCCAACACCAGGGAAACTCGTCTGCCCCCCTCCCGGCCCCGGACCCCTGAAAGGGGAACGGGCTGGCTACGGTGCCTGTGCCAGGTGCAAGCCTGCCAGCACCCAGCTAGCAGACCCTGCACCTGGCACGGCCCC